GCAGGGAGGCCTTAAGGCGAAGCCGGGCTTTTTCGCTAGTAAGTATTATAATAACATCATTTAAAAGAATAAATTCAGAGGCTTATTATATTAGCATTCAATATAATTTCATTTTAAAATATACTATATGGCTCTTTCTGCAATATATTTCCAAATATTTGCTTTTTTGGCTCTCTGGGTTGAAAAGGTTGCCGACCCCTGCACTAGCGTATGCGCGAAAACTTTGAACTAATAGCTCACCACCTAAGGCAAAATTCAAACTTAAAAAATATAAAAAGTAATAATGTTTTGTTAAGAAAAATCAAATTTTCTTACGAATACTCAAGTTCCACAGATGTAAAACATATTCATAAATTAGAACAATAAACTTAAAAACAGTCGTCAGGTGAAGTCATAACCATACCATTTCTTTATATCAAAAGAAATTTTCGACCATTTGCAGTGTTTTAAGTTTTCTCCCATAGATTTATATTTTGTTCGAAGTCTATACCAAAACATTTAAAATAAGATTTTTCATAAAAGCATTTGCATAAATGTGAATTTTTGGATATTTCTTCCTATGAAGATAGCCATATGGGTCGTAATTCCTAACTGTGCAAAAAAATCAAAGCACGTTGTTGACGATAAAGAACGTCCACAACAATAGTCTGATATTGATATGCCTAAGATCAATTAAAAATTTTTATAAAAGCTCTCTTCTTTAAAAGCACTTCAATTAGATATTCAGCTGTAGAATATCTGTTCAGTGTACCTTTTTTCAAGTTAACCTCAGGGAAAAAGGGAGAATCCTGACCAACTTTCTAAATTACCTGAAACTTAATGATAGAGTTTTGGTTAGAAATGAAAGAACTTATTTTGGGCTCTATATTGAAGTATTTCTCATCATAGTTTACTTCTTTAAGTCGCCGTAAAAGAGTGGCCAAGTATTTAAGACGATTTTGCGAAATTGTATGTTTGTCTGTCCCGTTTCTAGATTACGCATAAGCGGAAATTATATTGTACAAAAAGGTACCGTTCCAAATGCTCTAGATTCAATTAGATTGTTATTTACCTTCATATGCGCTATAAAACATATGCGTTTTGTGTCACAGTCGCAAATAGTCTGTGCGATCAAACAAAATACGGTCAAAATGTTTTTTGCGTTTTGGGAATACAAACTTGGCAAAAAGTAATCTTTAAAACTGAAATTACTCCATGTTTCTGAACACAACACAATTTCTTAAAGTGGGCTCCACCTGATTTATATCAACTACAGACTATATTTTCCAGTTCTGTTCATATTAAGGCTCTCCCATAACGCAACGCCTAAAATAAAATGTTTGATTCTGTCGTAATACAAAGCAAGGAAATTTTTTCGGTATCAGGCAGCCTTCGATTTCACCAAACATCTACCCGCTACCCTTAAATATATTAAACTAAAATGGCTGTTTTCCTTACCACAGCGTTTTCCCATGGGATAAAACACGCATAGTGGGAGTTCTCCCCTCCAAAAATGGCCGAGAATTCCTCGAAGCCAAGCACTCCGACGATTCATGCATTAACCGGCACGTAGAGTTAGATGGTATTTATAAGCACGTCAGGGAACGATGGAAAAGACAGAGGCCGCACGACAGACTAACTGAGGCCACACCTACAATCACGTCTCACCTCATATAGCTATTGATTTTTTCGGCAAATTTGAAATTTTTGGTTGTTCATTGCACTTTCCCTGTTAGTCCGAAGATGATTTCACTCATTAAAGTTACTTTTAATCCCAAAGAACATCTTCTTCAAATAACCAGCTATATGTGAATAGCGAGGTATTTAGAACCCGAGATCAAAAATAATGTCGAACCTAATAGCCACTCCACAGAATTACGAGGGGTTTGCTGACTGCCGCGCTTAAACCGGAAGACGTGCCCAAAAACTGTCAAGCGTAATTTAATTGCCGTTCTTTACCGCGTTTAAATATTGTTTAAGGCACTCATCTTCTAAATTTTAAAATAAGGCTCTCTCCTACTGTGAATAAATTGTGTCCTGCTTTTAGATTCTTATCCTTCAATTAAAGAAACCATAAAATGTAAAGAGAAAAACTTTTATATTTTACGATAAGATATATGAGACTGGTATCTGTTAAGAAGGAACGTAAAGGTTTGGCGAGTTATGCTGGCAAATTTGAGCTCTAGCAATGATCAGATTATCTACAATCTAAGTCAGATGCTGGTTTTTTTCAGGAGTTTCTAGTAGTTTTATTGCGATGACCACTTCTTCCTTTCCTGCTCTTAATAAAATATGTCATCCCATAAGCTGATAAAGCCGAGCATGTTGTGCAAGTTTTGATTTCGCAGCCTATCAAAGACTGATATCTCATAAAGCAAGCGGCTTTTACTCATGATAACGCACACTCTATAGGACAAGTTAAAAACAAATCATGATTTTTCTTAAATAATATAATTAACAACAAAAATGAAATAAAAATTTGCTTTGAGAATTCGAGCTAACTTTATTGTCATAAACACTTTCGTATTCATCCTGAAAATTGATGGTTAGGGTGGAGCTGAATTTCGCAAGTTTCAGGCAAGTTACCATTTCTTATTCACAAAACGAAACGAAAAGCAGAAAATAAGATAAAAATTCAGGTTTCTACGATTGCAACGCTTAATATCAGGAATTAATTAGTAAAAATAGGATACAATTATCAAGACAGGTATTTTCAAGATAAGCTCGACATATGATATAAGCATTCTAACCAAAATACATCTTTCGTGTAGTTTTATTTTTTTGCACCTATTCTAGTTTAAAAAATCCCTAAATGTATGCATACGAAAACTTCCTTTATATCTTAAAAAATTGTTTTGCGAATGAAATAACGCTTTCTTTCCAAAAACAAAAAGATGTTTTTCCTAAGCCGATATATTTAATACACAGACGAATGCAATTTTTTGCGCTGGCTCAGAAACACCCTTTCATTTTTAGTGAACTGTATCATGTTTAAAAAATCGTAACCCATACAACTTCTTTATATCAGCTTCGAGTTATTGCGTTCGATGCGAGCGAATCGGCACTGGTTATTCCGACGGGCTTGAGCACGTCTACATCACCAACCTCAACTGCAACAATAAATATCCAAATTTTGGACGACAATGACCACGCACCTCTCTTCCAGGAGAACAGCGAACTCTCGATGGCTGAGAATCAAAATCCAGGAATGTTGATTGGCACTGTCACTGCTATAGACCTTGATATTGGTCCCAACGGACAGATTGTTTATCAGCTTCTTCCAACCCACCCCCAGCCAGTGTTTCATGGCTCTAAACCGGCAAGAGTTATAGGCTTCGAGATGTCTCCGAATGGAACGCTTTATTCAACACGAAGTTTCGACAGGGAGGCACAGGTATTCTAGTGGATTATACACATTTTGTTTTCTGAAAATACTTCTACTTGTTGGAGACTTTTACGGCGTGATATTTTTTACACCTGAACCGCTGAGCTTCAAATTATGTGCTTAATTCTGCTATGCCTTGTGCGGATACCGTTAGAGTTTTACTTCAGTTAGAAAGCTTAGGGCGTCGTGCTAGCTTCCGGAATTTTGCTCGTCGTAAACAGTAAAAGCGCATTGGTATTCGCTGAGTATCACCGTTACCTATACAAATCTAAGCTAAAGGTGATACTGTGGCTTTTTACAGACAGTCGCAAATGATGGCAAACTGTCTCTAAGTAATATAATCTCTTCAAGAGTTGCGCTCAGAGCGATTTCAACCAATATTCAAGTATATTATTATACTGGCTGCTTCATCTAGAGGCATCTTTAGTCTACATTCTAAAAAATGGGCGCTCACTGAAAAACAGAAACGTGAATGAAAATATCCAGGCTAAGTAAAATATTAAATAAAAAAGGTCTGATACCTTGGCAGTCTTGTTTATAATGAAGGAATTCTTTCAGTTGCGAAAGGCTTAAACAAAATAACTTTGCCTGTTTCAGGAAGGTCACCATGCCATCGCCTAATCATCACAAGCAAAAGTAAGCTGCAAAAAACGCTGAAATGATCAGTAGAACTTAGCATTAGAAGTGTTCATTTACCATTAACGAGAAATATACGCGACATGTTCAAGCGCTCTAATGGTCAGAAATTACCGGTTTAATCATTAACATGGATCTGTAGGAAGGTCCAATACATTGGTGACAAAATTTGCAATATTAACAGACAGAACATTTGGGAAAAATATTATATTAGAAGGATGAAGTATCTGTCTTTCAGTTTGCCTGTTTTGATTTGTCCCTTATGATTTGACTAACCATCGTTGCGAGGTGTAAAGTCACATAAAGCTGTTCTTTAGGATGATATACGGAATTTGCAGAGTTTCATATATAGCTTAGTTATTTTGGTTTCTTGCAGCATTGTGCACACTACCTGTTTCTAATGGAATAATCTAAATCCTCCCTATTCTCACGTCGGCTTCTTTAGACTGACTTTCGCATGCGTCTGACGTAGCTCACGTGTTTAATTCACGAGCCGTCGCGTGCAAAAAACGTTGTATTATGTACAGTCAGCAGGGTTCGATTTTATCCTGCGGCCGGCTGTGCTGAATTTGGTCGAACTACTTTCTAAAGTAACTATATTAAGATTACGTTTGATGGCTTTTCTGATCCAAAATATGTCAAACTTAGAGTCCCACAGGACTTTAAAGGCGTTATACGAAAATGCGTCATTATTTTCTTTAAGTTCAACTGCTTCGCTATTACCCTCATCTGCACTTTAGTCATAACTTGTAAAGCTGAATCAACCCCTGCAAAAACCTTGTTGTTTTACGTGGTCTAAGTCGAACTCCTATACTTTTACGAATGTTGCCTATTTTCACAGATTATTTTTATATGCATGTCTCACAATTTTGCGTGTTTAAAATGCAAAAGAAGCTGTTCTATTTTCCCCAAAACGGTACCAAACGCACACCTAGCAAGAGCTCTACTGCAATCAAACAAGTTGATTGGTAATCACTATAATCTGGAGGAGTTTGAATAATAAAATATAGAAAAAGATAACCTCTGGAATATGGAAAAATATTAACAGGCTTTTCAATTTTACCAAAAGATCTGCTTGGAAGTTTGGCACAACAAGCATAAAGGCTTTGCTTGCTGCCTATACAATCATCGTTTGCTACAATCAAACATCTGCATTATCTTATTTCTGATTTTTGTGTGAGTATACCTTTGTGTCTGGAGAGCATTTAGCTCTTGAACAACCACAGTTTGCTGCCGAGAATCATGACAGCCTTCAATTATTCAGATAAGTCTACGAAACTCGGAAAAAATATTCGCCTCTTTATAGTAGAGCCTTTTTAATCAGATTAGGCCCTCGCTATCTGCTCGAACTCATCTCTCTGTAGCTAGTCTGTCAAATATCTTTTGTCATTGCAAATTTATTAGCGCATCGGCGAGGAAAACGGGCCGAGTGTCTTTCTTAATTAGCTTGCATGAGACGTCTGCGTAAACGTTGTAGGCTACGTACATTTTTCGAACCTTTCGCGTTCCATATTTTAGTCACGATACTGTCTAAAAATCCAAGCCACCGATCAAGCCCTGTCCAAACCTCTCTCCTCTACTTCGCAAGTCTGCGTCAATATACTGGACATGAATGACAATGCTCCAGTTGTTCAGTCAATCGAGGGACCGGATACAAGTAAGTTGATCATGTTCGTTACGCTACATGGACAAAGTTGCACCATGCATATCATTAAGATTTAGGGAAAGACAAATAGAAAGTAAAATTTTGTAAAACATTCCTTTACACATATTTGCACGTACCCATTTCAAATAAGTACATTAAGTTCTTTTGATAACTAAAGCCCTGTCATTCCTAAGATGCTACAACCTAGTCTAGAAAAGTTAAAACTGCATATATTTACATATTTATCTCATTTTCCAACAACAAACTAGCCGCGAGCGCAAAATCGGAGCAAAGTATAAAGAAACCATTAAATTTTCTGTTCAACCGAAAAAACATCTTGGCTTATATAAAGACATTAATTTACTCGAAACATGCCTTCAATTTAAACATACACAGAAAGACAATTTATTCTGGCGACCTGAATAAATTAACAAGATAACTCTTCATTAGTAGAAAAAGATACATTTGTCTCTAGGTTTCTGCAGTGCTTTTCAGTTATACATGTTTTTTATATTTAAATATTTGAATTGGTATTCATTTTAAAAGTTTCTACACCAGGTTAGCCTGCATTTCAGTTTTATAACATTTATAATTATAGGACGTTTTTAGACTTATGATTATTCGTGAAATCATAACTCTCTAGACTTATCGATGCTGAAGTGTAATTGGACAATGCTATACATGGCGCTGCAGTATTTTGCTACCAATTGAATATTTTTTGAAAAATAAAAGTGCGTGGATTAGTCGAAGATAAACCATATGACACGGAATCCAGATAATATGCAAGCAAAGTAAAACCGGTTGTGGCTGCAAGATTTGGAGGACAACAAATGTTTTAAATACTCATCTATTCATTCTGTCACAGGAAGAAATAAAAAACTTTCAACAAGTCCAAAAGTCAAGAAAACTGAATTCTTTACATATTTATTTTAAAACGAAAGACCGGTATTATCAAAACACTGAAAATTAGCGAAAGAAGATACAATTCAATAAAATAAAGTGATATTTTTGCGTAGATAGTATCGATACGATTTTCTTATACTTGAATCATTTTCTGCAAATGAAATTGAGCGAAGTTGAGTTAATTTCAAAATATCAGTCTTCTAATTACCGGTGGCAATAAAAAACATCTAAGTAGAATGTGTAACGCCAAGTTTGTTGTGAGATTATACTAGTGTTGATGTTCTTTTTCGATCTTTAATTCAAGAATGTTTTGTAATTCATACATTTATTAAAACATCTTACGAAGGAGTGCGCCGGTCATTTTAATGCTACAAGTTGGGGTTCATGAAAGCCTAGTGTAGTTTGTACTTGATAGACTTCTACAATTTCTCCAAGTAAAGGTTGGCACTGAAATCTTTATCGTCTTGTGGAAAGCTTCGTGGACGGCGTTTTCCTATAAGACTTCTTGCACGGCATGCAGACTAGAAACCGGACACCTGACACTTCAACTTTTTGACAGCTTATACAAATTGTGAATATTTAGAAAAAAAATCGTGTATAATATTTTGCTGAATTCGTAGGGCTTAGAATTACAAATAACACGTTTTCTGAAGCATAGATCAAAGTCGACATGTACCAATCCATATCTTTAGCCGTCTCCTCCGATTGATTCCCACTAAAATGCATGTTATGTTTATTAATATTTCGTCTTCGATAAGGCTCTGGGCAGTACATTAGATCTCGATAAGCAACGATTTCAGAAATTCTGACATACAGCCATACCTCTAATAATCCAAATTAACTTTAAGTCCAGATGAAGAAATTCCTTAGTAATATTATCCAGCGGATGCTTTGGGTGCTTCTAGTACCTTTAAAGGTGTGTTAGCTTTGTCGATCTTTATGATATCGCTTGCTCTTTAAACTAAGTTCATCTGCGCAGACAAGTTAGTTTGATCAACATGGGTACAAGCGGCTTGTGTGTCTCTATCATTGCGTTTTGCGGCTTCCGCTAAACCATGCCAGTCATCGCATTACATATGTACGGGCCAGTAATTTATTATAAATGATACAGTATGCTCCCTTCTGCCCGTCCAGCGTACTCCAGCTAATTACCTTCCACGGCAGTCAGCCAGCTATGGACATCTCCCATCCTAAGTCGGGTAGATTGCTGAATATTAATTGTCAGCCTTGATTAACCTATCTTACTCAGCTGTATAATTTCTGTTTTAATCAGGTGATAGTTTTAAGGAAAAGCTCTGGCATGTATCCGAAAGGTAGCTGGAGAGTTTTGACTAGACAGGCAAAAATTAATAACTCCAAATGTGGCCACATTCAGTAGACCTTTTCAAACCAAAGTATTGCACCTTCTATGGCTACAGGAGCTTAGGACTCCGGAAAGTTAAACTGTCAGTTTTATCCGCTGATCTAAAAACAACGGATAACATTTTCTTAGAACGCCTACTTCTGCTTACACTGCCGCTGTGGGGCAGGAGTACTGAGTACCAGGACACCGTCAGCATATTTACATTACTTATATATGTTGTCCGTGATTGAAGGACTAAAATAAAACTCAAACACAGTGTTCTAAAATTAGCCATCAAATAATGTTCGGCGGATAACAGTGTTTTTGCATTTTAGCCACCAATTGTAGAAAGGCTTTCAAACTGAAACAACTATTATAAATCTGCGATTTTTGTACATTTAGAAAAAATAAAGGAAATTGCTAGTCAAGTACGATTTTATTAAAAACTTTTTAAAAAAGCTCAGCCTGAATTCTGGCAAACTGTCTAGTGCATACTTTAATAGGGCTTACTCATCCTGGGTGAGTACTTGTTTGTAGTTAGAGATTGAAAAATAAACTCCGCTGAGGACGCACACGAATCTATGCGTGCCACATCAAAGGAATCGTGAAGTGAGACAATTAAATGAGAATGACTGTAAGCAGTCCTTTTTATAACTAAATAACTTCTCGAAGCTAGATCCCTTACACCTATTGATGTTCTCAAAAAAGCCCTCAGTGTCTCCCCAAATGGGTGAGGTGCTTGTTACTATACCACTTAAATATTTCAAAGAGAAAGGATGTCTTTTGTATCATTTCGTATTTTCAGACAATGAGAAAAATATTTGGAAAGCGTAACTGATGCAAAACACAAAATTCTGTTGCAGTCAGCATAGGAACCAGTTTACAAGGGATACAATGGAAAAGGTATCTATAGGATATTGGTATAAACAACCTGTACGGGATGGAAAGTGTTGAGCTTGTATGTACGTTTATTAGATATGTTCTCTGTTGCACTTTATTGAGATTCTTACTCCATAATGCGTCAAATAATTGCCTATACCTACGGTGAGGCTCCCATTCTACTATGGGGTGAGTTTCAATGAGAGTTTGGTTCTGTACTGTTTACCTCAACATGAACATACACAAGATAGCTGCAAAAATTAAAGTATCGGGCCACCAACCCGATTTCACTGCGAGACATGACCGTTATTTATTCTTTAAAGCTGTGACCTCACATTCGTAGGAAATATCACAAACATAAGCGGCAAAAAGTATGGCGATAAAAACCAAAGTTGCGCAGGCCTTATATTTAGGCGTGAAGGGCTGACAATGACTGGTGAGCTGGGAAGTGTCATTCCAATCTGCTTGTTATACGCCAATTTTTTAATCTCTAACTACAGACATTTATCCTTTTTGAATAGTTCTCGTTTTCAAACGCCGTACCACCGTATTTCATGGAATAGTGTGTTTAATTTCATGCGGCCACAGACAAAATTAAATTTAGGCACCACACGCAATTTATCAGTTAATGTGTATTACATAAAATACTATTAACTTCGTACCACAAATAACAATCACACTAAAGATGATTTCATTTGCTTCGAAATGCAATTATTCGAGAAGTTTTGATACGATTAAGCGAAGTCTGAAATTTGAAATCTTTGCGACTTGTTAATAAATGATTATCAATATCATTTGACTTTAGGCTTTTGACATTTTTCCAAGAATTTAGTCGTAATTCTGTGCAGTTCTCATGTAAAATATGTGCCCAAATTTCAAATACATACTAATTATTCTATTGATTATGCAAACTATATCCTCAGTCTAACTTCGAGAACGCCCTCCTAGTGTTAGGAATTCAGTTTCCCGTCTCTTTGTTGACATTGGAAGAAATCCAATTGATGAGGACTGTCCCAGCACATCATATTTGTACATACATATTTCGGTTCCGATTCATTGATTTCACTTGTCTTTTAACGTACGGAAATATAATAGATCGTAAACGGCATGCTCTAAACATCTTTTAGGAAGTTACAGGTAGATATTTGACCATTGGTAGCTTGGGAAATTAATTCCAAGTAAAAATAGGGTTGATGGTGTTTGGCAGATGAAAGAACAGAATTTAAATTCAGTGTAGACAGGATTCGTAGGGGGAGGGGGGAACGAGGTAACTAAGTACAGATAAGGCTGCGATAGACTGTAAACAAGCTTAATTTTGTGTGAGGTCTAATCAAATGGAAAAGTAAGTGCAGCGCAGGCAAAAAACAACCCCAGAATACGGGCAGTTCATTGGACTCAATACTAGCTGATGATGCAAAAAGCAGAATAAATTGTGTTGTCGCTAGGTTTCGACTAAAGCTCAGACTCTACATGCAGAAGCGGGGCTAGATGAAATGGTTGCTTTCTCAGTGCGGTTTTAAAAATCGAGTATGCCATGCAGGACGGTTCTGTTCACAGTTTTTATAATATTTTTATTTATTTAGTTAGCGCTCGAGCATATATCGCCACAGCCTTGACACGGTTTGCGGAAAACTCATTAGTTTGTCCTGATTAAAATCTACTTTGATGCGACAGACTTGGACAAAGGAACGGAATCAGTGAGATATAATTCACGACAAACTCTAATGAGAGAGTATAACGGGAGTAATTAAGTTTAACTCTCAAGCATTCTCTTGGTTAGGAATGTGTGGAGGCCGGCTTCCGTCAGAGACTCTTATCAAATGTCGCGGTGGGAAGCAGTGAATTTTTTTTGGACTTGCTGACTATATAGAACTATCGTAAGAGACCGCTTCAAACAGAACACACACAACAATGATATGCTTTTAAAAACTTATAATTTACTTGTACTCATCAATGCCTTCATTGTTTATCGCCGAGAAACACGCTTTTGATAAACTGAAGGAAAATGTCCTATTCCAAGCTCGAGGTATTTACTTTATTCTCCGAAATAGACATAACCGTTTTTGCTTGCATAGTGGATTCGAGAATGTAACGTAAAATGTATTGTCCTAGAGTATGGGAGAAAACAGCCGACCCAAAACGCACCAATCCCCGAATTGAACGGCTTTGATTCTTCAACGGACCTTTACAGAAGTGGCCTTGATGATGACGAAGGTCGACCCTTCTCCTTGACATCATTTGATTTCCCATTGCTACACATCTCAACCAATGAAGCGCCTGGTTATTGCGTACTCCATCTCGAGGCCAGCGATGCTGACGAGGGCGAAAATGCCGAAATGAGATTTTTCGTCGACACAAGAGCTAACTGCAGTTCATCGTCAGATGGGCTTGCTTCTTCATCCCCTTCAAGCCTTTACAACGAGCCAGTAGAGCAGGAACCTGCGGCGAAAAGGTGCCGCGTATTCAAGGACAACACCTTTAGAATGGATGAAAGGACAGGCAAACTCCTGCTGCTCCGTCGACTCACAAGCGAAGAAGCCGGAGATTACTGTCTCAAGCTAGTTGTTGAAGATATGGGTCAGCCACCTCAGCGCACAGAGCAGGTAAGCTGACTATATTATTTATGTAAATCAACGAGTCAAGTTATCACTGACTTTTCGCGCTGGCGCAAAGGCAATCCTGATATCTTTTGTGTATATTGTGTATTGACGACTCAGTGGCCGTCGTTTAAGTCTTATAATATTTGGCAGCTGACATGGTAGGAGGTAGTCATACATAGACCAGTACCCACAAACGCTTTTGCGCTTTACTGCGCAAACGCCACTAAGTAGCCCTAGATGTGGCATTGAAAATTGCAAAAAGCGTTGAAAAATTAACTTGAAAAAAAAACATATAACATGCAAGTTTAAAAGTCGATGTAAAAGCGTCTGCAATGGTTGTTTCAAAATATTAATATATTTAAGGCCTATAAAATCTAAATACCTCCTTATGTCACTGATACAATTTAGGGAAAAAAGAATGAGCTATAAAATTAGTGGCCCAACATTTGTGCATGTCGTTCTAAAAGTGTGGCTCAATTCATACGGTCATCAAGCGTCAGTGCATATATAAACCACGTGAGAAATTATTTTTCGCAGACCTTATATATTCATTTGTTTTCCCAGGCCGGCTTTCACAGCAAATATAATTAAAACATTGCTAAATTAACATGCCATGACCCTAGGGGTATTTTAAGAGTTCAGCCTATATTTCACGAACTTCTTGTACGTGCCGTTACATGCAATATAAATGCCTACCGGTTCATGATAGACTGACCTTGACACAACATCCAAGATAAATTTGACCACAAAATCATATCGGAGAATAAAAATAAATTAACCAGTTAGAACCTATCTTAGAAATCGGTTTTATTATCGCGTGTGTCCGCATCCTCAGATGTAGAAAGCGTTCTCTGGAATTTAGAGAATAGGCAAGGTGACAGAATGTTGTATCGCAGCGCGCATACCGATTGGTCTTGGACCAAGTGCCTTTAGTGAAACAGGACGACGGCACATATTTTCTCTACGCAATTTAAACTTATTTTTAGTCAATCCGTTTATGTTTCCCGTAGTGAGTTTAAAATTCATTTTTCTGCATCTGTTCGAAGTAGTAAAATCCTTGTGAGGTATATTTTTATATTGTCCTTTCTTCGGTCTTTTGCCTTCATCGTCTACCTTAAGCTTAATTGGAAATTTCGTTCTAAAACTGGTGTTCCCAGAAGATATCCATACATTTCCATAAGTTCTCAACATGTAATATCATGCAATATGTATACATTTGCAGTTCGATGACGGTAGGTACCATCGTTAGTTTCCAAAATACGGATACGAATTTTGTTGTTTTATGAGTGGGTGACTATGCTAAATCCTAATCACGCTATGGCCTTTAGTAACTATGAAGTATTGTTTCGATTAAGCGTGGTAATCAAAATATTCTAAGACATGTATGTTGTTGCTAGAGAATCGGAGCACCATTTACTGTTTTCTACTCGAAGTGGACTGAAAGAATAACCTCAACTGCTGCCCCGCGCGCAAAATCCTGGTAGATTAAGAACCTCAGATGACCTGGATCACAGAACCTGCAGTCAACAGCACGTAATAAAAAAGGAAGGTTAGTAGACCAACGAAAGAATGTTACGTGGCATTATTCTGGAAATATGATTTTGGAAACCTTTCTGAGATTATAATCAATAGCACGTTTGGCTCTCTATTCTCGAAGCACAAATTATTAATCGGTAAGTTACATCCTAGCAAACATCGCCGAGTATCTTTTATTATGTTTTCATTTGTATTGAACTAAAATAAGAAATTAGAAATGTATTTTATTTGAAGGGACACTCTCGGTTCAAAGCCCGGTATTTGACACAAAATTTTAAGAGATAAGTCTGAGCAAACATTTTGATCAAAATTATCCATTATTTATAGTTTTATAAAACTGAAAAGACTAAAGTCAGCAACATAATACTCACACAACGGCCAGCTTTTGGCACATTGCATTGCAACGTAAATTAGTTTTGCAAGAAATACGATGTAATGTTATTCAAACAACGGTTTTGCCCTTTATGAGGTTATTCAGAAAATTAAAGTTTGTCACACGTGTCCCTTGTCCCTTTTTTACCGATGGAAACAAAATGCGAATCTTCTGATGGGAGCCGTTTCAACTACTTTCATTTGTCCAGTAAATTACTCTAGAAGATATGAAACTCTGCTTTATCACTGTATATAATGAATAGTCAGGCTGTAAACCCAAACGTTCACGGAATACTCCTAAGAAAGCTAATTTAGCCGCGGATGTGCATTGGCCATAGGAAGGATTTTGACCGCTGCTAGAATTATATCCCGACGGTCTTTGTTCATTTGCAGTATTTCACGAGTGGCAAACTTTTACGCTCCAGCTTGCACACCAAATTATTATGCGTACCTTTCTGCGCATGATTAGTATGACAGTCTTGATTGAGTAACGCCTGTGGAACGCCATAAAACCTTTTTCTTTACCCTAGCTGCTTGCGGGCGTTTAATACAGAGTCCCATACAACCAAAGCAGACTAATTTCCTCTCCAGCAGTGTCCTTCATACAGGTTGCTGATCTCCTTTTTATTTCTTCGAAAATTCATGCTCGAACTGTAAGTTGGTGCTTTGGACTTAAGCCTAAAATACTCAACTTGATATGAATATCTGCGCTAAATTGCATCAGTTACTGTGAACTAATCATGTAATATTCATAATCTACCAACAGTCAGTCAGTATTATGCAGAAAATAAATTATTTACCATACTGACAACATAGACTATAGTCAAAAGGACAAGAACCACGTGTTTTGCAGACATTAATGCGTTGCATGACGAAACTGCGAGCATTTGCCTTTTATCTAGTATATGTGTCTTTAGTAGGGCAAAACGTGCAGCATCCGTTGACTGCTCGTTCACAACGTGTGAACAGCGCGCTGTTATTCCATAGTAGCTGGTGAGTTTTATCAGTTATCCATAGCCATTTTCGGACCGAGCCTATGACGTTGTTTTACAAGACTTAGTTCAAGTTTAAGCATTACTTTCCGAGTGATTTATATTTTCGCAATTGAAACTGATAATTATATATTTTAAAACCCACGTAGAACTCTGTAGGATCCATTCATGAACCGAACTCCCGGTAGCTGCGGCGTGCAACGACAGTATATCTGCAACATAGTACTTTCATGCCCTAAAGGTAACGCACACTTTCTAGAAAGGATAGAGTTCACCGAGTCATAAAACCTCATTGAAATGACAGTACAGCAGTCGTCGGTTATTAAGTCCACCTCGGGCCCAGACCAAATTGGGCTTAATACGCGGCGGGTTTATTAACCGTGGGCTTAATAGCTGGCGACTACTGAAAATACTTTGCGGTCTTTTAGTCTATGCAGCTGGTTAAACAGTTTAGAACCTTCGAAGCTCTCCGGTTAAGGAGATGGTTTAAGTTTTTACTAGGGCATTTATTTTAAAGACAATATTTTTTTCGCGAAAGGGTGCTTGGAACATGTGCAGGCTTACCGAAGCATGAAAATCACTAACAAATATGACGGCTTACGATTAATAAGCTCTTACGCAAAAGATAAAACTTTTCCAATAATTTATCTATCCGAAATGTGTAGCAGGGTAGTTAGCAAACGTTGCTCACGCCTGTCATTTTATCTCTGAGTAAATTTGGGAGGTATATTATATAATGTCACATATCTGATCATTTTCTGCGTGATAAAAAGTGAGATAGCCTGTCGCCGTTAATATTAGTATTTAAAGCAGAAATAAACAGATACAAAAAAAGACGTGCCTCTCGTCGTTTGAAAATAACGAGTCCATTTGTGGCCTGTCTCGAATGATTTATACGTAACAAATAATTAATTGTAATGCTGATGAATTTATTTAACAGAGCCGTCAGCCTACATCTATCAGTTAAATAAACATGCGCAAATATACCAAACGGTGTTTTAGGCAGTGATTTGCAGACGAAGGTGTTTGAGTATTAAGCGAGCTTGCTTTTTGTTGTAAGTCGACATTTTTCGTTCATAACTAAGTCAGAAATCCTGCGTGAAATATTAAACGTTGTGCAACTTTTGGAGCCAACAGTAAGAATTCACTACAGATATTTGGAGCCTCGTGCCTTCTTTTTCTTCATATGCTTTCCTCAGTTCCATTGGAAAGCATTGGTTAATTTAGAAAGGATTAAACAGGTCAGGTTGCTCCGAGCAAACTCCGTATGGTAGAATACGTGGTGAAATTTTGCATTCACTGCTTGCTCAAATGCATTCATGGTCCAAAGAGGTGAGCATAAGCATTGTGGGTTGCCTTTGTAGTCAATTTACCATGAGGTATTACGTAGTGATCTTAAAAAATAGACTACATGGGTATAGAGTTATTTTGTCGTTTTTGTGCAAGATGTGGCGGTGAGACGAAGGAGATTAAACTTGGCTGCCTATGGAAGTGGTAGTTGCAAACTGCGCGAGCTGTTGTCAAAATAGGTGATACGCCGCAGGAGAAATTAATTTATTTGTACGACATTTAAGAAACGCTATTTTCTATTATCCTTCCGTTCCTTTTGGAATTACTAAATCCCGCCAACTGACAATGGGATGAAGTAATGTCAGAACCTGTCATATGGCCTTCATATCCACAGGAGAAGATATAGCTAGTCCTTTTCTCCTAACTTGATCAGGCTTCAAGCAAACGCTTCCAGATGTAGGATGTGTGGTCAATCTTCGTTCAGTTTCCCTAGCAAGTCAACGCTGTCTGCAGTGTGGCGGGTGTAGCTCGTAGATTTTAGTTGCATTCTTGGCGAGAAGCGTGCAGTAAATAGGGTCAGAGTTGAGTAATCACGTCGAGTATATTTGCATTAAGTATCAATTTTATCCATAACAAATAACAGTTAGATGAAATATCATTTAAGACTGGATAAGACATACATACGATAGTTTCTACTTCATGAGTGTCCATGACCATCATTACGCAGGTGAACCATTGTTTGAAAGGTATTTACTTTCTAGTGAGGGAAGTTCAAGTGACATCCCATTAGCAAGCAAACTTTCCCATCACGACTAGTATGGT